ATGTCCATACCCAAGAGCTCGAGATGGTCTTTAACCGGCACGGAGACATTTCGGAACGTCGGAGTCAGATGGAATGGACTCCGTTTCGTCGAGAAGAGACAGGCCTGTGTTTTAGAGGGATTGAATCCAACCAAGTTGGCTTCACCCCAGAGGGAAACAGCTTCCAGGGTTGCATTCACTCCCTCCACCATCGCCTCCCTTAATGATCGGACATCTGCATCAGACTTCACATCAGGCAGATATCTCCCCGAAACTGTGCTGTCGTCTGAATACCCAAAGATACCAGGAGTTAGGAGCAGATCATTGATGTGCAGCAAGAATAGAGTTGCGGAGAGGACAGATCCCTGGGGGACACCGGCACTAATACCAAGCAGATCCGACGATGTGCCATTAATGACCACTCGTATCGATCTGCCCCTCAGAAAATCTGCAATCCAGTTGCAAAGTCCGACAGCGATTCCATATGAAGGAAGCTTGCCAATGAGACTTGCATGCCAGACCCTGTCAAAAGCCTTAGAAATATCAAGAGAAACGGCGAGAGCTTCGCCGCGTTTCTCTATGGCTTCACTCCATAAGTGGGTAGCATACACAAGAAGATCCCCAGTAGATCGCCCACGGCGGAAACCGAATTGGCAGTCACTGAGGAGATCGTTATCTTCGAGGTAAGCGAGGAGACGGTTGTTCAATACACGCTCCATAATCTTACAGAGTATGGAGGTGATTGCAATACGTCGATAGTTGGCAGGGTCGGCACGACTACCCTTTTTGGGCACTGGTTGGACATTGGCAAGCTTCCAGGTTTTCCACCAAACACACCTAGTTCCGATAGGTTCCGGGTCGCTTGGAGAGTAGACTGATACGGACTTCACCAGACAGTGGTCGGAACTCCCTATAGGAGACGAAATTACCACCTGGTAACGGTCCGGGTCTGTTGACAGCAGAAGGTCCAGGCAGTTTGGTGTGTGGCCATCAATATCGGGTACACGTGTAGCGCCCTTCACAAGCTGGGAGAGACCTAGCGATATAGCAAATGTGTGCGCTAATCTCCCGGCATGGTCGGTTTTCTGGAACGGGAACAACCACTCATGGTGGTGTGCGTTAAAGTCCCCCAGAACGACTAGCTGCGCACTCGGGTACCTTTGCTGGGCTGTTCCAGCGGAGGCACTGAGGTACTGAAAAAACCTGGTTGTCTCCATGCTCTCTGTGTGCGACCGATAAACACTGGCATAGAGTATTTGCTCTATACCTGTGTTCACCAGCACCCATAATGTAGAGAAACTGGGATCCTCAAGGTAGCGGAGACGTTGGCAGCAGATGTCATCACGAGCATACACGCAGGTGCCAGCGCGCGATTTAAAATTGTGCTCCAGGATGTAACCTGGATAATGCAAGTAAGCTGCGTCAATCGGGCATCTTATTTGAGTCTCCGTGAGGAACAGCAGATGTGGTTTATCGGTCTCAAGGTGCTGATGGACACTATCGATATTTGAGTGCAATCCTCGGATGTTAGCAAGGTGCACTTTTAGAGCGAGGGAGTGCATCCGCTGTTTCACCATTTCTTTTTTTTAACGTTCATATTTTTTTTTCATAAGTAGAGAATGAACAGGCAGGAAGGGGACAGATGAGCGAGACTCTGCTAAGCTACTGCCAAGGAATGCAGTTATGACGCCACACTGACGGGTGACTGAGCTGGAGCGCGCGGGGACGCCCTAACCCCCCCCCCCAAAAGTGTCCATCGGGCCCTCGCATCCGGTCGCCAACCGGCACGATGGCGTACCTTGGGATTTTTCGCGAGTTGGCGGGGCAGCCTTTCGTAGGTGGCTTTCCTACTACTTGGGCCCCCTACTACCTGCGGTCGGCCAGCGGAGAACCGTGCTTAGGATCCCGCTACCCTCCGCGATCAGCCACCCAGCGCAGCAATCACGCAGCACCGAAGCCGGCAATCTGTACATCGCAACTGCTCGGACTCCCCCCCCCCCCCCCCCCCCCCCCCCCCGCAAACGGCAACACCAGGCATCGAGCCGAAACACGATGAAAGTCGTTTGGCGGCTCGGCTTTGCCTAGAGAGTGGTTACCAGCCACGGTCGAAACCTACCACCGGTGATGTGCCGAGCATTTGGCGCTAACCAGGGGACACATGTGGGTATCTAGAGCTAAAGCCCACGGACGCGCTCGGCTTTATCCCCCTAAAGTGCCAATTGTTAGCATCTGTGTTTAGAATGAATATTGACAGGGGATTTTATTATTTTTACAAAAAAAAATCATAATTTTACTAAAAACCCACGAAAAAGATAATAGTTTTCTAATCTATTGCCACGTGACCCAAAACACTTTGGATTGGCGGAGCTTAAAATGACGTCACACGCAAGTAAACTTCCGGTTAAAGTGACAATACATTGTATCGTTTGACGTTTTAATAACAGTCGTGTGACGCCACACACTAGTAAGACGCCATATTGTCCAGAGAAACGTTTTCGCGGCAACTTGAAAATGGAGTTTTTGATTTGGTTATTTTTATTGAAATATACAACAGAATGATGAATATCCGGACTCCATAAACAGAAGTCAATAATGTGAGATCGTTTTCTAAAACTTGTCAAATACCCTATTGACACCTTCATCATGCAATTGAGGATTTTTACTGTAAGTGAGTCGGTTGTTGAAGTGAATTTACGAAAAACAGTCTAAACAACAAGTGATAACCGTAGATCATAGATCCCACAATTTTCTCATACAAAAGCTATTAAAGAAAACATTGTTAAAGAGGGATTGAACAATTTGTCAAAAAATAAATATACAAACAAAATCTGGTATAGTAAGAGGGGTGATAATAATTGCCGGTATTATTATTGCGGCGATAGTAGTAATACGGTTAGAAAAAAAGGACATGTAGTACGGTTAGAAAAAACTGCCATGTTACTAGTAGTAACAAAACAATGGCACTCTTTCATTTATAAGTTTGGCTAATAGAAATAGTAAAAGTGTGAAATATTTTTGATTGATTTTGAAATGAAACAAACAATATTTTAGATTTGGACACTAACATATTTTCAAAAGATTTGAGTAAGTAGGTATAGTTGGTATGTTATTCGGGTTCGAGTCCCGTCTACTGTCTGGTATGCGAGGATTTTTTTCTAGTAAAATTTTCTTAAGATTTCAACATCTAGCAGTTACATGTTTAAGAAAAAAAATATAAGTATAGGTATAGTTATGTTTGATTTAGGTAATTCAGGTAAATATAATTTTTTATAGACAAAATACATAACATTGCGTTAAATTACACGCATCTGTACATTGAAAGGTTTGTAATGTACAACGATTATATGGATGATGCCATCTCTGAAGACCAAGTTGCGTCGAAAGTCGAAAAAAAACCCCGCTATATGCTTTAATCAAATTTCAATTACGTAATTTGAATAACGTTCGCGTTGTAGAAAATAAGTTGTAACTAGAGATCTTAAACTAGAGAAAGAGACAAGATACAACCAGTGCCCCAAGCTCGAACTTTAACAGTATCGTATTCGTATCGCCAACGTCACAGTATCTATGGAAACTAAGCAGCGCCCTTACCGGTCCCTATGAACAAAGTAGATTTTTCCATAGCAATTTTGATATGGCGATACGAATACTTTCTCGCTTTACTGTACCTAGACCAACTATGGGCTGCTCTATTGCTTCTTATATCTGACACTTATCTGCCCAGTTTTAACTGACAATTGGTTATAGAACATGTAGTATATTCCTGTCTATAGGCTTCATCAATAAACATACAGTGCGATCTTGTACAACTTAGATGACATTGACAGGAGGGCTCTGCTAGTAAACACATGGCTAAATGGATTTAGGATAAGGATTTCAAGTACAAAAGACTCAGTACGTAAAATCTCATCACTAAAGGAAACGTTATAATTTACAATGACTCGGAAAGAGTAAAAGGAAATATGAAAAAGCTTATTTACACCTTTCTCTATAAATAACAAGCTTATTTATAATTTTTTGAAGTGAAAACTCCTTTAGCGGCGTTGTACACTTTTTTTGTAATGGGTAAAAATTGTTAAACTCGCGTAAGGACACGTGGCCTAATCGACGTTAATTAGACGACTAATTCGTAAGGCGAAAACAATAAAATTGGAAAGGTGGTTGATTTTCAATTTATTGGACGAAAAATAGTAATATTTTATTTTATCGTATTATAATAATAAGTCTCTATCTAGGCCGTCCAGGTGGCAGCTTTATTGCGAAGAAAATGCATTTTCTACAATAGATAACGCTAGGTGCGTTTAAATGTGATTCATGTAAGTTGATTCTTCTGAGAGATAAACTGATTAATGTTATATAAATTGTCATGTTTGTGTTCGATGATAGTACTTTTATACTGATAATTAAAGCAATTCGTGCAAAATTATTCCCTAACCATTACAAAATATCAAAAATGCACAACGTTAATGTTCAAGTTTTCACTTCTGCCGGCAGCACTCCCGGAGTGCAACCCGTTTTTTATGTTAAAAGGGTGGCAAACAAGCGTGATGATGAGCGGCCACCATAGCCTATAGACGCTTGTGATACAAAAAATATCACTCGCGCGTTGCCTACCCTGGGGGGCATACGAGCAGACGGCTCACCTGATGGTAAGTGATCACCGTCGCCCATGGACACTTGCAACACAAGGAGTATCACAAATACGATGCCGGCCTTTAAGGAAGGAGTACGCTCTTTTTTTAAAGGTTTTTGGGTCGTATCGGTCCGGAAACACTGCTTATCCCGTGGAGCCCTGGTACCTTACGCACTGACAGAAACACAACACCAAAGATAGTGTTATTGTACTATGGTCATCTTCTGTAAGGTGGAGGTTACTTACCCAGACGGGCGCTCCAATCCGAGCTGAAAATCCGCTTTTCTCTAAAAACCTTCCTATTTTCTTTTTTTTTTATAGATAGGTCCAACAAATGACTCCACACCAAATGCAGTTCTACCTGCCACACCTCACCCTGCGGGCCTGCATGTTGCTTTTTCACGCTTCATTTAAAGGATCCCAGGTTGTAAGGAGGGAACACGTGAGCGGGCAGTGCTCCTAAAATTGGTTCCGATTTCTGCCACGCGCAACAAGATCTTGGTCGCACTGTGGAAGTTATAAGCTACAACTCACCCTTTGTCTCTGGTCGCAGACCGTCCACACCCGGCACGCGAAGTCATTGGACGCACCCACAATGTACGCCCCCGTCGAGTCGAAGTCGACCGACATCACGCCGGCGTTCGACCCCACCAAGGTGCCTTTGTTTTCCACTACACCTACTGGACAATTATATTGCTTTACTTTATTTTTTTTAAGTAAAAAGGGTCGCAAACTAGCGTATGGCCCGTTTGATGGTAATCGGCCACGAGCCTATACACGCTTGCGATACCAAAAATATCACTCACGCCGTGGAACCTCATTCACCGACGGATGCCGAAACCGAAAAGTAGTGTTATTTTACTTTGATCTTCTGTAAGGTTAATTTTACTTCCCCAGACAAGCACTCCAATTCATGCGATAATCCCCTACTTGCCTTAAATTTAAATTTTCATAATGAATGTAGTTGAGAAGCTCGATGGTACAAATGGTTAGCGCATTCAACCTGCGACCGTGAAAGTTAAGCAACTTTCGCAATGGTCGGTCGTTGGATAGGTTATCAAAAACTTATTATGTTGAGCTCCCCGTGCTAAGGAAGGCACGTTAAGCCGTTTGTCCCGACTACTTTAGTCGTTAGCAACCACCAACCCGCTTTGAGCCCGCGTGGTATGTCACCGCATAGGCTGAAGATGATCATGAATTAATGTAGATGTTTTGGCCACCAAATAGGGTGTAACAGAGTAGTATATAGCTCTATATTTCTATTTCTACCTTTAAATATACGATATGAAGCTTAATCACTGGCGACTTATTATTCGAACCCCCTCTACCATTGACTACCGTCGTAAGACTGCCATAGGGCTTCAGTAATAGGGGTTAAATAATAATTTATTGGGTTGCCTATAATGCGAAGAGATGGCGCTGCCTTGCGGCTTAAGAATGGCTAGAGGAATTTCGACGCGGTCCGTGAGGGCCGCGGTAGCATAATTGGTCAGTGCATTCGCCCGGATTGCGAAGGGTGCGGGTTCGAGTCCCGTCTACTGCCTGGTATGATTTCTAGTTATATTTCCTTTAGATTTAAACATCAAGCAGTTACATGCTTTTAAATAATAAAAATTATAACTAATAATTTATTGTCCAAAAACAGCACAGAAACAATTTTCTTACATATAACATATTACACAATACAATGCTAACGTTAGCAGTGAGTGTCAAATAAGGTCAATACGATGCAGAGAGTGACCAAAATTTTACCACTTACTGCACCTTATTGTTAGAAGGAAGCACACAAGTTGCGATCTTCCCGAGAAACAACATATGTATTACTCGAGTTTTAAGTTTAGTACCAGAGACCTGAGTAGGGCAATATACTCTCTCGGGTATACAAAATAGGAAATAAATTCTATTCCTTAATAATACAATCTTAGGAAAGAGTTTGGTTTGCATTAAACAAGTAGGGATGCCAAGAAAGAGTATTAGAAGTGAGTGGTCTGTTAGGCCATAATTGCTCCTGGTTTCTTTGGTTTATAATTAGTTCATTCACGGTAAAAACTGTTGCATTTTGTAGTGCAATGGTAAAGGTTCTGCGGTTGTGAAACAAGCAAATTTTAGTCTCGCTTGTTTCTTCATATATTTTTTTATATCTCTGTACTTAAAAATATTAGAATAATTGTAAAAATATGTCATTATTTATACCTCAAAGAACTGTCTTCTGAAAAGGATATTTACTTACACTTTGAAACATCCCATAATTTAACTTTTCTGTCAGCACCGCCAGTCGCGACCAATCGGTCTGTAGGACTCCATTTTACGGAATGGACTTCCCCATCGTGAGCGTCCTTTAGAAAGAGAAAATCGTATATATTTTTTTATATTTTCACACACTAATAATTAAATTAAACACTTCTTTAAAGCGCGATTTATATTTTTTTTCCATTATACTTGACATTTAGGACAGGCAGTCCTACGACCACTTAGTCTATAAGATGAGAAAGTAGGAGTCAACAAAGTTAGAGCATGAACTCGAACCATATATGTAAAAGGTAGAATCAGACTATTTTCCCAAAGATTGCTATCATGGCAGCTAATAATGTGAAGGCATTGTGTCAACTTTAATATAAAACAATAGCTAGCCTATCTATTTTTCTAAACAAAACCTTGAAAATTGTGCCGTATCGCAATTTAATTCAGCCTCACTTTATATGGATGGTTGTATTTGGACAAAGGCAACCATGCTATTAGGTCATCCGACCTTCGCTTTTGTGATATTAGTATCACCGACATGAATTAGAATGTATTTTCAACATTCAAAATTTATTAGTTACATAATTGGACAAACAACTGATAAAGAATGTGATTTTATTCTAAATCTATAGATAACATACCTACATCCTGTTAATAATATGAATAAAATGGTAACTTATACTGGTGCATGGTATGTTATGTGTCCTAATTTCAAGTAACAGAATAAATATCAAAGATTTATTTGTTTCTCATTCTCGCTGAAATTATGATGGAAATGAATGTATATATGAATGCATATTTCATAAGACTGAATCAATAGAACAATTGAGAAATTGTTTCAAGATTTGAAATACAGCTAGTGGTTGAGCCGACAAACATGAAGTTATATCTTTTAACTAGCTTTTGGCCGCGGCTTCACACGCATTAGATTTGATTTTGAGTGAATAAATGAATGTCAGACTTAGTCAATAAAAACAATATTTTTCTGATTAAAAAAAACCCTGTATTTGATTATTTAGTTAAAGGATTAACCACGCGATTTTGGTGCTCGATGCAAAATTTTACCTCCCATTTTACCTCTTTAGAGCCAAATCTCAGCGCAATTGTGATATACAGATACCCGTCTGTCTGTCAGCGATCTGTATTTCACATACAGTAAGACTAAATAAGAGGATTCCGTTGTACCCTAAAAAGCGCCGCATAAAATAATTATTATATTTCACATCCCGGTTAAAGGTAGGATGGGAGATAATGAAATTCGAGTACTATTAAACCGGCCAAGTGTGAATCGGACTCGTGCACGAAGGGTTCCGTACCATTATCTATACAACTAGACATTTTAGTATTTTAATCAACTAGCTCTAGCAACAAACGGCAAAAAATCACTTCTCCCTTACAAATTTATTTGATTCTGTTTGTTATTATAATGGCAACAGAAATACATGATCTGTGAAAATTTCAACTGTTTAGCTGTAACGTTTCATGAAATACAGCCTGGTGACAGATGGACTGACAGACAGTAAAAAAAGAGTGTACGTTTACTTACAAATCTTACAGCTACTTTGTTCGGCAACGCAGTCGCATAAAACGGCATAGAGTCTAGGATTTTGTCATCGGCCGAACCTCCGGGTGACCCACCGCTACTCCGGCTGCCGCCTTCTCTTGCGGCCTCTTCCAAATCTTTACGCAGTTTGTCACTCTTCTTCCTGTAAAAAATGTACTTGCTAGTATCATCGAATTCATTCTCAGACAGTTTAATCCTCTTGCCGAAATAGAGAAGCGGTTTGCAAAAGCTGCGTAGTTACCTACTTCGAAAAACGGACGATGATAATATTGCAGTTTCAAGATCTCGCATCAACATCAAGGTTGTTGGTACTTACACGATTCTGAATGAGAATTTTAATGTCTCTGCGTCTATATCTATTCGAAATAAAGGCGAAATGTAACATTTAATTTGGTAATTGTTACTATAGGTAAACCGCTAAACTGACTCCTGCGGAGTACAGGGTGTGGGGGAGGACGAGAACGGGGACCGTGAGAGGTGCGGGCGGCGAGGATTCTTTGGAGGCAATTATATAATGAGTAAGACGTTATAATGGGGATGAAGAGTTGAGCGATCAGAACTTCCCTTTCATAGTTTAAAATGTTGTTTGTTGAAAAATATCTCGCTGATCGTCGTACATTTTTAACGCCCATAACATAAATACGCTCATAAATAGGGTAGTCGGTCAGATTTTTATTATGTAGCGACTCGCTTATAGGAGGACGTAGCATGGTTACAAAACTTAAATTAAAGAATATCATCCACTCAATTATGAAATAAGTTACAAGATATTTAAATATGGTGGATGAGGAAAAACAAAAGGAGTTGTTTTATCTTTTGTTTTAAAGGAGCTATGACGTAATCGCCACAAAAGCGAGGGAAATATCGAGCTGCACTCCATTTCATTGTTGTATCACAGTGTAATACTAAATATTTAATCACTATTAATTTTTATTCTTTATCAAAGGCTACTACCCTATTTATAGCTACTCCTATAACAAAAATTACAAAGGGAAGATTTGTGTACAGCATCTGACCTGATTGAATAAGACATTTAAAAATCATTTTAGTATGACTTTGGCCTAAAAATCCTGTATTTTTCTACATTTCTTGATAAATAAATTATGTTAATACTCATTGTGTCATCGTAACGACGACACAAATTTTACTATTTTAATAAGAATCAGTTCACATTTTATACTCATGCGTTGAATCGAGTAACAATGAAATGTGTGTTATTCAGCAGGCAAAATGCATACCTTGAATGGGCCAAGTATCTGAAAACAAACGTGCAGCCGTCATGCAAAACCATACCAAAATTTTGTTAAATTAACAGTAATTTATCCAAACCATTAAAGCAATTCTGCATATCTATAAAGAAATTATCTTTATTTACTAATAAATATAGGTACATAATTTTAAAACTTGTAACGTTAAACCCTAAAATAATTATATTGCAAGATAATACAAAATTATAAACAACAAATATATAGATCTAATAAACTTATGAATTATGACTATCATTTATCGAACAACACATAAAAATGCTGTAAAATTTACGACTAATATAAACAACTGTTAAACATAACATTTTATCACCTGAACCTGAAATGACAACATCAAAAAATTGTTTAAAATTCAGTGAAAATATTCATTTTCAAAACAAAACTCTGTTATTAATGACATGCACACACTATAATGAATGTTATAAGTTTGATTTCAAAGTGTAATAAAGATACCTTTTTTATGTATCCTTTGATATGACAGAAATGGTACATATAAGATATGTCACTACCAACGAGAACAGAAGTAGTGTCCACATAAATAATGAAATAGGTAACGATAAAGACAATTTGAAATAACGGCGAGGGAACCAGTTAACTTCTCTTCACGATTCCATGTACACCGTTAATGATACAGATATTGAAATCGAACATGAGTCAGTTTCAGAGTGCAGTTAAGACATAAATGGGTCACTTTCATGAAGAGGTAAACTTTCAACTATGAACGTCACAATGCCTTCAAACCACCACATCCTCATTCACATTATGTCAAACTCACCCGAAACTAACTCTACCAAACGTGTTGATGAAAAACGCGGTAGGGTTGCTTGACCTGTTGAAGAAATTAAACAAAAAGAAGCAAAAACAAAAGAAAAATCGATACATAATGCAAGCTTTAAGCTGCGTCTCACACACATACCCACTCTAATCACAACAATCGTCAATGTGGTATTACACGAAAATAAAACACGAAAATTATAAGTTCAGTTTTGAAAACGTTTGTTACTTTTTCGTTATAATGTAAATTGTAAGTATTATAAAACACCTTTTCATTTGACAAAAATCTAAAGTTATTTCAGAATATATGAAAAATTATGAAAAACATAACAAACATTTCTATGTTTCACGAATATGGTGCAAATTTTTATATTGTGTAATATAGCAGCGACATTCACTATGGCAATACATCTTTTGTAGGTATAAATATACTTACAGTTGTCTATTTTATTTTCTAACCAAATGCCCCATTGTTGCAATGCATTTTAAACATTATTTCTGTATCGTTAACAATGTAGTGATTTGCGAAAATCTATATTTTACGGGTCCCTATAGAGCCTAGATGGATTTTAAGGCCCGTATTATAGAAAGATTCTCAGTGATTGATCTAGGCTTGAGCAAAGTTAGAAAGGGAAGTCGCTTTATACAGCACACAGCGACATCCCTTTCTAACTGTACTAAAATAAAGATTCAACACTCAGTTGTCATTCTGTAATACGAGCCAATGAGTCTGTTTGTGATTATCACAGTTTCCAATGCATGCTTGGCAGTTATTTACTACGAGACACCAAATTATGTACGATAACGTAAGTACTTACTTAAGAAAATGTTCGTTTTCTTCGTTCATTTTATCCGCATCTTTGGCTTTATATTTTATTAATCTTTCCACTAACGATCGATTTTCATCCTGAAATCAGAAAACACTTCACTGTAACTGTTTCAAGTAAGTTGTCGGGGCATTTGGACTACATTTTAAGTACCCTCTTAAACATTTTTTTCATCTTGAAAAGTGACTTAGTAATAAAATGTTATCACAGCAGATTTTCTTTTTGACTTAATCTACACTCGATGATGAAATCGCAAAATTTTAATTCAAACTGCCTGGAAGCTTTCTTATTCGACAATGTAGACACAGTTCGTGTACAGGCGCTACGATAATCATGTGATGATCGTAAAATATACAGCTTGCTCCATTTTATCGCGTGGCTAACTAAAGTAGTGGTACGCACTTTTAATTAATTTAAGTAGCTAGGTGTGTTCGCTTTTATTGAACTCCGACTGGTCAACTATTAGACAATTTTTGCTTATATTTCAAACTGATTAAGGAAATAGGTTTCTATAAATAGGGCAGTAATTATAACGACGTTACAGTATTACTTACGAAATTTACCTTATATAATTGGCAATCGATAAAATTCATATTATGATTTCCGATTATGATACACTACATATTTTAAAATGAAACATCCTGAATATGCTACAGGAAACTTTGAATAGCTTTGGCAGTTACCCAATTTCTAAATGATGCTATAAAAATATAAATTCCTAGGTAAACAATTTGTTAACTAATCTAAAAACTATTACCGTTGCGCTCGAAAACGTTATTAAACACATAAACACGGCAACAAAAGATAATATATACGTGGACGTGGTGATGATAACGATTGCATGGATTAACCATGCAATTGCTTCAAATCTCTCTTAAAACGTTAAAAATACGTAATGGCGGTGAGATGATTACAAAAGCTCATCATTATAGAAAAATGAAAGTTTAAAATCTTTATATAGCACTCTTAAAGCCTGCGCAGATGAGGAACTTTTGTCCGCGGACTTTTTTGTCCGCCAAAATAGATCGCTTCCAACTGTGTCGAGTAACACACACGAGGGATTAAAAGTCTTGCGTACAAAAAGTCCCCTGAATAACCTTGGGCGCTGCGACCGAACAGGACAAAAGAACGCAGGTGTCCCCGGAAAAAAATTGAACTTCTGTAACTAGGCGCACGCAGCAAAGTACACAGCGAACTTAACTCCGCGTTGCGCGCTCGATCCGATTTAAAGAGATAGACTTAAAGCGTCTTCTCTCTTTTTCGTAAACTTCATGCTATTTACGTACAAAGTAATCAGAAAATATTTACTTCAATAGCGTGCGGTTATCCAAATTTCCGGCGGCTCGGCGGACATTTTTTTCACGATTCAGGGACTTCAGTCCCTAATTTGCGCAGGCTAGTAGCGTACCTCCCTTAAATATAATGTAGATTTCAAAGCTATAAAGTTTAAACCAAAGCGGTCTTTCTTAATAAATGAAAAATATAGGTAACTGGATTATAACAATGCTGGCATGTTCGACTAAGAGAATAAGAGAAGTTGAGCATAGTAGATACCGGCGCCAGACATGAGTTCAAAGAAGTGATCACTTCATGTGAAGACTATGCTCGCGCATTTCTTACTTCTTGGTCTTGGTTATATTTGTCAGATATGTTAAAAAAATATCAGTCCTTTGAGCTCACAGTTTTTACATAGACTTTACAAAGCACGGCGATGATTGGGTTGCTTGGTTTGCTTTTATTTTATATGTGCGTGTAATTATTAAGGAATTACAAGCACAGCCAAACAACAGCCAAAACGAAGAGTACTCGTATCGTTTGATTTTTTTTAAAGTACGACAGCTCTCATGCCCGTGTCACACATGTGAACACTTATTTGATCACAACTGTGAACACGTCTGGCGCAGGCATTAAGCTAGGTTACCAATTGTATTTTTTGAGAATGAATTAGACTATTTTTTTGTTCATTTGAATATGTGCCATAGCTCCTACTAATATTATAAATGAAAAACTTTGCATGTTTGTTAGTCAATCACGCAAAAACTACTGAACGGATTTGGTTTAAATAACGCATATAGTATACTAGCTGACCCAGCGAACTTCGTACCGCCCTAAAAAAATAGGGGTTGTCCAGCGGACAAAATTGTGAATCCAAACCATTCTCAGATCCCCTTGAACACACACAAAAAATTTCATCAAAATCGGTCCAGTCGTTTAAGAGAAGTTCAGTGACATACACACTCACAGAAGAATTATATATATAAAGATGATCAGGAGCTCTATTTTTGAATCACTCGTCTTGCGTCGAACGCTCGATTTCTACTAAATTTCATTCGACATAATTAATTCCGTATTTTTGAATCGCTCGAGTGCAACGAATGGGTGAGACCACTCGCTGCATGGCGAATGGTGGAGGCGAATGATAGAATGATTGTCATTTTTTTTGTGCTATTAGACGACGATGATCTATAATTGTCATGCTTTATATGAAACGACAACGAGAATTTTTTGGATGGTTTTCATTGCGGTAATTACCGGTTTTTATTATTTCTGCGTGATATGAGTAAAATTTTACATTTCGTAATAAACAGGTAACACCGGTGACGAATGATTAAAAAATACGTAAAATCAGTATTATGCGACTTGAAAGTCGAAGGTGACTTATGTCGCATTCGACGATACTATGTCAGACGAGTGATTCAAAGATTAGATAGAGCTCTTGTATTCAGACAAAGGATAGTTGTTATCCCGAAAAACATGAAGGTTCCTAAGGGATTCTCAATTAACAAAAGTTCCTAATAGAAATAGGGCATAGCTATATTCCAATCGTATTTGAACGCCCACTCGAGGAAGTAACCGCCATCTCACAGAAAACCACTCTATAACACTACTTTTTGAGGCGATGCAACATGTTACGGAGCAGTCAAAAATTCGTGCTTGGCCCTCAGGCTTTAAAATTACTTTTTTGCCTCGGCAGCAAATATTTGCGACTAGACACTTAACTTTTAATTGGTTATTGATAATTTACAAAAAACTATACTGAGTAAATAAAAATCTGAAAATGTATTAGAATTAAAACTGCATCAAGGAGATTGCTCAGCTTTCATACATGTTTGGCCTAAAGACCAATAATCATGAAAAATTGTTTCTTAGATTCTAGTTAGAGATATATAATTACGAAAAAAAGTAATTTTTAAATTACTGTAGAAACGAATATTATTGACGGACACCCCTGAGAACTTCTATAAATCATATATCGTCGTTGCGACTTCAAGACCTCCTATGTGTCATTTTTGTCGAAATACCTTTTTTATACGGGTTTATTTCAAATTTTGGCGCTACATCGAAATCAAAAACTCTCGTGTGAATAAGTCTTTTCAATTTCTATTTATTTACTTTATTCAATATATACTAAGTGCTTGCTCAAGTAAAGTTGGCATTTAAAATATCTTATGTGTAAAAGCGCTAGATAGGTAAAAATTGTTATTAGTCAAATTTTCAAAATAACTAACCAATAGAAGCACTAGAATGAGAGGGATACATAGATCGCGTGATTATTTTCCGATTGTAGATGTTACATGGGGGTAGTAATATAAAAATTACTTTAGCTTCGACGGGGTCTCGCTCTGTGGTTATAAAAGTCGATGTGCAAAGTGTATTGCTTGCTCCAAAGCTATTGGCAAGTGCCCTGTTCTATAAATTGAAGTTACAATGTCATAATTTCACTGTTTATGATGTTTTATCTTAAAATGTATCAATTTACTGCTGGCACGAAGCAAACGGTAATGTAACTGCGAATGAATTTACATCTTGCTTAATAGACCATTGTCAAAATTTACCAACTACGATTGAGTGTATTATTATTTTTATGTTTGTAGAACAGAAACCGAATTTCGTCGACTGCCCTAAGTGTTTTGGCACAATGAAGGCAATTGAATATCGAACAACTCTATTTAGAGAAAGGGCATCAATGATCTGCTCCTTACTCCCGGTATCTTTGGGTATGCAGACGACAGCACAGTCTCGGAGAGATACCTGCCTGATGTGAAGTCTGATGCAGACGTCCGATCTTTAAGGGAGGCGATGGTGGAGGGAGTGATGCAACCCTGGAAGCTGTTTCCCTCTGGGGTGAAGCCAACTTGGTTGGATTCAATCCCTCTAAAACACAGGCCTGTCTCTTCTCGGCGAAACGAAGTCCATTCCATCTGACTCCGACTTTCCGAAACATCTCCGTGCCGGTTACAGACCATCTCGAGCTCTTAGGTCTCGACATCTCATTCAGCCTCAATTTCGGTCGCTACATCGAATCCATTGCTAAAACCGCTGCCAATAAACTTGGAATACTTTCTAAGGCCAGGCGGTATTTTACATCTGAGCAGCTCCTTAACCTTTACCGAGACCAAGTTGCTTGGAGTACTGTTGTCACGTTTGGAATAGATCTGCTCGGTATCAGCTGGATGCACTGGACTCGGTGGAACACCGTGCGGAGAGACTCATAGGCGATGACGCTCTCGTTGAGGCTAATCTCCAGAGCCTTGACCACCGAAAACGTGTAGCTTGCCTCTCGGTATTTTATCGGTTATATTTTGGAGAGTGTGCGGAGGTATTACACAATTTGATTCTCCCTTCCCCTTTCCACCACCGGACGACCAGGCGCGGCGAGTTCTTTCACCCTTATGTTGTCCAAGTTCCTCCCATTCGCACGAAGCGATTTACTTCAGCTTTCATTATGCGAACGGCTAGGGAGTGAAACTCCTTACCGAGGTCTGTTTTCCCGGACCAATATAATCTGGACATCTTCAAGGCCAGAAGGAACAGGCATCTTCTAGGCAGGCGTGTACCATCCTAAGCCTCATCATCGCTTTCCATCAGGCGAGATTTTGGTCAAACGCCTTGCCTATTAAACATAAAAAAGGGCACACCATGATGGAGGTGGACAGTGTTCACTCCACTATTGAGCAATACGTAAAACCACTATTATATACTATTGTCATTGCAATGATAAATGTTAAAAACAAATAACTTGTATAATTGAAAGTCATGTGTTTTGAATCTCAATCCCTTTTACATACTTATATTCTCTAATGTGATACAAAACGCGCAACCAAAACCTCTTATGTGTCACATTGAATTGTTTTTTTTATTTTTTTTATTATTTAAAATGACAAGAGCAAAATAAAAATCATAAAACCCTCTAGTTATCACTTGTATTTTTTGTTATATTTAGTTTCCTTATATTTTTTTCAGTAGACAGTTTTTATTGAATATATCGCATTGAAGAATTTTACACATGGGAGGTCTTAAAGTCGCATGTGTTTGCAAATAGGTACTGATGTATTAAAATAATAGAAAACAAATGTTATTTAATAAACTAGGGAAATCAAGCCAAGTTCCGAAATTATTCATTAGATTCAGGTATATAGAGCATGTAGATTAACAGATAGTTGCCTGTTTTTGACGTTAATGCACAAGAATAACTTTTAAAATCAGGTATCATATATACATTTCCGGTTATATTAAGGTACTCTGTGACAAAAACTGCGGGATCATCGTGAATGAGCCACAGTTTATAGAGAATTTTTAAACTCTCGTTAACCAAAGAAAGCTAAGAGTTTTAGGTTATGCAGCCATATCTTCAGTAGCTTCATTATTTTTGTTATGTTTATATTATAACCGTATTTTAGATTTTTAGTGTATCACACCTTATAATGTGTTTATGGAGGTGTTTAGCGATAGACTTTATGATGTCGCCTACTATCTATAATAATTGTCTTAGCACATTTGCATGCAGTGAAAATGATAATATAGTTGTGAATATTAATACTCTGTGTAATAAAAAAAATGATTTGTTTTGATGTTAAATAAACAACTTCGATCAGTCTTTGAGTGAATGTTACTACACCCATAGCCATTTAAAATTATTCGTATGTTTTCCTAACCGGTAAAATTAAAAGTCCTTTTTAAAATGAATATATTATACAAAGGTGTCCGTTAAAATCTTATGACTGTAAAATAAAGTATAAATTACGCCAAGATTTACCGTATATGTCAATATTTTTTGTACATCAACAGCCAATCTTAGTCCACTGCTGGACATAGGCCTCTCCAAATGCACGCCACTTAGATCGATCTTGGGCTACTCGCATCCAGCTCCTGCCAGCCACCTTGCACAAATCGTCACTCCATCGCGCCTGACGACGTCCTACACTACGTTTGCCTAGACGCGGTCTCCACTCCTGAACTCGTCTACCCCAACGGTTATCGGTTCTTCGACAAATATGGCCAGCCCACTGCCACTTCAACTTGCTAATCCGGTGGGCTATGTCGATAACTCTGGTTCTCTGCCGGATTACCTCATTTCTGATGCGATCTTTCAGAGAAACGCCGAGCAGAGCCCTTTCCATAGCGCGTTGAGGGACTTTGAACCTGTGGACCAGCCGTACCGTCAGTGTCCACGTCTCGGCTCCGTATGTCATCACAGGTAGGACGCACTGATTGAAGACTTTCGTCTTTAGACACTGTGGGATCGACGATGTCAGGACTTGACGTAAATTCCCAAACGCTGTCCAACCTATCTGAATTCTTCTATTCACCTCGTCCTCAAAGTTGTTTCTACCTAACTGCAATGTCTGCCCGAGGTACACATATTTTTGAACAACTTCGAGAACGGCACCGTGTATTGCAATCGGTTCCGGTAGAACATGTTCATTGAACATGTCTACCTTGGTTTTATCCAAGTTCATCCGTAGGCCGATGCGATAGAAGAGTCAGCCAGGTCATTCAGCATCTGTTGTAGGTCCTGCAGGGTTTCTGCCATGATGACGATGTCGTCTGCAAATCGCAAGTGAGAGATGCGTTCGCCATTTATGTTGATGCCACGTCCTTTCCAGTTCAGCGTCTTGAACATATCCTCCATTGCATTAGTGAACAATTTCGGGGAAATAACGTCCCTTTGTTTCACTCCACGATGCAATGGTATGGGACTTGTTTGCTGATTCTGTACTTGGACAGACATGGTGGCGGCTTCGTAGAGACATCTAATCACTTGGATGTATCGCCAGTCGACTTGGCAACGCTGCAGGGACTCCAGAACAGACCAGATTTCAATCGAGTCAAAGGCCTTCTCATAGTCCACAAATGCTAGGCACAGGGGCTGATTGTACTATTTAGTCTTCTGTATAATCTGCCGTACTGTGTGAATGTGGTCTATTGTGCCTTATCCGCTCCGGTGGTTGGAAGTCATCAAGTCTTCGCGCAAGACGGTTCGCGATCACTCTTGAGAACAGCTTATAGACGTGGCTTAGAAGGGATATGGGTCGATAGTTCTTAAGTTGGGTCTTGACCCCTTTTTAAAGAACAAGACAACCATACTCCTACTCCACGCCTCCGGAGTTCTCCCTTCGAACAGGACAGTGTTGAAAAGCTTTTAGAGCTCCCTCAGTACGGGTTTGCCTCCAGCCTTCAAGAGTTCTGTTGAAACACCATTCTCTCCAGGGGCTTTTCCATTTTTAAGCTGCCCAAGAGCAATCTCGATTTCGCCAATACTGACTTCTGGCAGGTCTTCGGTGGTTTTTTGTACATTTGGGCCAATTTGAGCAAACTCCTTTGGCACACCTGGGGGCCAATCGCCTAAGGGAAATGCTTTGGGAAACGCTAACGCTTACGATTTTATATTGTTATTTCTAGCCGCCTGAGGTTTTCGAATACCACACGCTCATTTTTTTAAATATTGTTATTACCAATGGAAAATAAAAAGAAAGAGCGCGAGGCATTTGAATACCTCAGGCGGCTAGAAATAACAAAATAAAATCGTAAGCGTTAGCGTTTTCCAAAGCATTTCCGTTAGGCGATTGGCCCCCTGCTCAATGATGCAATTGTAGTAGTAGTAATGTGCGTGGGTTTACTGAACTAATCTGGCGTAGATAAACTTGGTATAAGTTACCTACAAAACTTTAAAATACCTATGTATCTACTTAGGTACAGACACCGGCTGGTGACATCTGCCTGTTGCCTACGCTAAATAAATTTATTTGAGTTTATGTTAGCAGTGAAATATAGGTAGATAGATTATCTATTAGTAAGCTTGACTGCAAGGCTGTATTATTGTAAACGCAATAACGCAAAAACTTTACGGTAGTAAGATCGGACCGAAACGGGCTGTGGACGCCACAATAGAACGAGTTACCTAGTATCTTGCGACTTCATTACACTTATACCCGTTCAAAAACTGTTTTCTTAAATTTATTGGTGTGTGTTAAAACACCAGAATTTCTTTATCCAGACTAGGCGGACGCTATGTGGTCGTGTATTTCCCAGAAATTATTACTTATGAGCCTTTTACATTTTTTGCAAGATACCGTAACTTCAAATTCAAACTCCTAAATCTATGGGCAGCAAGTGAATCAAATGGAATTAGTTTTCTTCGAAAATATAACACGAAATGAACAGTAGTATCTACATAACGGAAGTCTTAATTGTTCAAGCAAGACCCGAGATTCCATTCGTAACAATAAAATTATGCTCGCGCTCATATTTCTGGGAACGTGAAAGTTTATATGCAAGATGTTGGGATTTGTCGTTTACATCAGCTGCCTCGAAAGCCTGCTAATACAAGTTATTATATTACGATGAGTGGAAACATATTCCACACGACTTTATTAAAAATATCATGGAAAAAAACCCAGGAGTATGCAAGCTGATGGTTTTGGCAAGAGGATCTCACATTATTAACATAAATTTCAGATTACACTACAAACATTAGGTATAAGTGTCTAAGGTTGCTTCAAAGAATCAAATTCAATTAAACTAAAACTGAAACCGGCTTAAGAAATACATATAAACATCCTACGATCCCATTTTTTGCCTGTTTTCCAGTACCTATATTCATTAATTTAACACAGAATAAACATGGGCAGTCATTTTTGAGACATATATTAAATACCTGTGCTTTTCTCAGCTTTTCTTCAATAGCAGCAAATGCGATTTGCAAAGCTTGATGCTCGTCTCTCAACACTTGATTCAATCCCTGTAGTTCAACCATGTTACTTTCGTACATTTGTATTTCGGCTCTTAGTGATGCTATAATTGCTGTGTTTTCTGAAATTCTGGAAACAAAATAGCAAAGTACTTAGTATAATCATAATATTGATCTCCCAACCCAATCCCCTACCCCATCGAGGCCTGGAACCTTACTCACCGATAGAAGCAAAACACCAATAAACAGTGATTCATAATATTCAATAAAATACAAACCAAACACAAAGCTATTAACATGAGATTTTAAGCAGTGCCAAAGATCATTATTCAAGATTTACCTAATTTATTGGACAGATGTCATTAAACAAACATTTAATTAAATACTTAAATCAAATAAAGCTAATGTTTGTGGTATAAAATAATTAGAAAAGAAGGGCCATACAGTCATGAACTTATAGGTACTTATCTCTGTACATTTATTGTTGTTTATTAAAATCACAAAAATAGCAAATTAGAATAAAAATTATAACGTCTTCATGAATGAACATGCATGCTCATGGTTCCAATTTGAAATAAAATAATAATAATTATAAAAAAATAGACTCAGTTCTGCCAAGTTTAAAGCATTTAACAAGCATGTTATACTTTTTTACGTAGCAGTATCATGTATTCTATCAGTTACCCTAGTATCCCTAACACAAGCATTGCAATGCTTACTTTGGGGCTAGACTAATTGCTGTGTGTATGTGAGATTTATTTATATAACATTTGTATTTCTTAAATATCACATATTTTAATAACAACACGACGACGCAACAGACACGCTTTAACTCGCCATCTAAGTCAGCGCAATTGCACAAGCTCACACCATTTGGTCATTGTTGCATGAGGAATTAGATAATTAATGTGCGATATAATTATATATTGTTGATATTATATATGTTACCGGCAATCTGTATAATTCGGCCTTCTATACAATACCTGGGCAATGTATGGAATGCCAAAAACGTCAAAGCAATGTATGACATATAATTCATTTTAAACTTTGCCTAGATATTCTATACAATGCCGAATGCTCAGTCAGTCAGTATTGTAGTTATAGAACACAAGACTTGAATGCATGATTAAGGTATGAGAGAAAGCACGCGTGTGCAGCGTAAGCGCGCATTTGGCATAGAAATAGTTTAGAGTCTCGGGAAAGGACATAATAAAGTGTTTACAAACTGATAAAATCTTGTTTTTGAAGTATGTTAATAAAAAATATATTTATATCCTACTCAACTACCTAAAAAAAAAGTGTCTCATTTTCATGTATGACACTCAATGAAAAAAAAATATTCAGCAAACATTCTACATAAAATACCAAAATTTCAGTTCTGTACTCATTCCATTTATGATCTAGTGACCAGTGACATACAAACCAAACACAAAGCCGTGACAGTCATCAGAGTGACAGTAATAGGGTTCTGCTTTTACCCTTTGGGTATGAAACACTTAAAGAAGAAAAAGAATAATCTAATGAGAAAACTTCCATTGTTAATATTAAAGGTGTGTGATAATATTGTTATTAAAATTATTATGAACAGATGAATATTTCTTGACTTACACCACATCTTTAGCTTGTAATTGCCTTTCTAGATCATGCACTTGTGCATTAAGATTAATGATTTGTTGAGCACTTTCGCCTCGACGTCTATGCAAAGATGTTAACTCTTCTTGTTGAATTAATATCTTTTGTTCTAATGCTTGTATTTTTTCATTTATACCACCACCTGCAAATTAATTAAAGACAATTTTAAATCATTTTCCACAAAAAACTACATATAGCTTTTTCAGCTTTATTATAAAACATGGACCAAAGTTAATCTTGGTTTAAAGCTAATGTTTTCTCTGTGTTCTTTGTAGCAAACAAAAGTTACATCATCTCTTTTAGTCTGTTTTTCTTATAAAGCGGTTTAAGTTCAAGATTTGTAAAAAACTATTTTGAAAAACCAAGTGGAGGAAAGTGGGTACACAGTTAGAAATAAAGCTCTTTTTGATATGCTAATGTTACAGATGGTATTACAGACATAACTCTAAATTGTATACAAAAACAAACTTTTTAAAAAGAATCATTTCATAGCAATCCATGGAATCATTGAGCGCTTCCTAGCCAAATTTGATAGGAGCCTGTTAGTGCAGCCTTAGTTGTTTATTCCAAAATTGAATTTACTGCAATTTACAACTTATAATGATTTTAAATACATTTACAACTTATATAATTTAAAGTATTTTGTTTTGATTCACTGCTACTTCTATACTCTTAGTTATTAAGTACTTACCGCCCCCAGATAAACTACTGTCTGTGTTTGAGTATCTTATTCTTTCATTGACTAATGTCAGTTGTAAGTTTTCATTTTTCAATGTGTTGACATTATCAAACAGTCTACTTTCTGTAAATGAATTTTTTTCGTTACTATAATAATTAACATAACTTTAACATTTTACTTATTACAGCGTTGTATTGTAAAACATTATAATCAGTCAGGTTGATTTAATTCCAGCCAAAGAGATAAGTCATATCATACATGCGTTACCGTAATTAAGCATGGAAAACAATGGTATCTTGATACATTAACTAATGAAAAATAATTTCCAGTGTCAACAAGTAGACAAAGGCAATAAAAATTTTAGGTTATGTTACTTACGAAAACTAATTATATCCTGAAATGCTGCAGTTTCGTACTTATTTCTTAATTGTAATTGGTTAACAATACTTTTTCTCCAGTCGCCAAATTCCATTCTGACTTTAGTTATTTTTAATGTAACAAACTAATAACTACTCGAATCAAAACAAACAGATGTCATGATTTTAAATCCTGTATGTAATTTACAGTTGTTTTATCAACTCCTCATAGTATAAAATCACATTACTCTTTATTAGAATAATATTATAATGCGGTAATTTATTTTTTTGTAAGTTTCAATTGAGCAAAAGCAAGCAAATCAGCAGGAAAACAAACTCTGACAGCTGACTTCAAGTTTTGACATTGATAGTAGGCAACTTTTTGTTTAGTTTCTTTCTCCATGGGAAAGGACAAAGGCAAATCCATGCAGCCATTATCTCGTTTTTTAATTTTATTTAACACTAGAATGTGGGTGTGATGATATGTGATGCATTCTAACGATCGTTGGATTGTTTGACACGTAATGTATCGAATCACCGGAAAAGCGTATATTTTACAGATTCGACTAATTTTTCAGTTGCGCAGATGGTTCTTCTTCTTCTTTTTCTTTTTGTATGGCATGCACGGTTTGTGCGTTCAGCCAATGTCAAGTAAAAATTGAGGAAACAGTATAGGAAAAAAGGAATCGGAAATATTACGAAATTTGGAAAGGATCAGGATTGTAGAAAATATACATATTTACATTTAAAGTTTTATATTATTGAGCAAAAGGAAAGATATAATACATTTATACACAGATAGGTCATTAGTATGTAGAAGTGTAGCTATATTGGTCGGGAATGGTATATGAAGTGATGATAAGTCATTAAAATGTAAGGATCTATGGAACAGAGGACAGGAAAACACAATGTGATCAACATTTCCCTCATCGAACCGGCAGTCACACCTAGGATTATTTATTATTTTGAGTATGGCAAGATAAGAAGGCACAGACGAATGGCCAAGTCTGCGCAGATGGTTGTAACACAAAAACCCACAAATTTTACTCCACAATATCCACTATGAACGAATCAAAGAATAATTAAAATATGACGCCTACACATTGATACTACAAGTGCCTAGTAGGGTGTTAACAACTTCAGATGCAGTTTGGGTACGGTACAATTAATGTAATTACTAGCAAACCAGTGAACCAAATGTTCACAAAAAAAAAATTGAGAACTTCGGACATTTTGTGTGGTTTCGTTTGAAATAGAAATCACGTGATTTCTCGAAAACCGGAAGTGCTACGTTACTCACATCCGGTTTGTAGTCTTATCAGACTATTCTCAACTTATAACTTAAACATTCTCTTTATCTATCTCTTACGGTTTGGCCGCTGAAACAGCACCACGGACGGACGGACGGACTTGTCTATTAGATAAGAGATTTATAACATGCCTATGGAAATTAAGCGCACGTGCGTGAAATTATTTGACAAGGTCAGTACCGAAACAATTGAAGAAGTAAGGTACCGAAAATGGAAGTAAAGATAGGAGAAGTGGGCATTCAGATATTTGATGGTGCAAATTATGAAAAATGGAAATTTAGATTAAAGTTGTTGTTACAAATGAAAGAATGCCAAGAAGCTGTGGAAAATGATATGAAACATGAAGGTATGACAGACACGAAATGGAGAAAAATTGATTTAAAGGCAAGAAATATTATAGTGAATAGCGTAAATAATACTCAGCTCGATATAATAATGAATGAAAGTACGGCTTACCAAATGATTAAAAAATTTGACGAGATGTATTTAGTAAAAGGCAGTGCTAATAAATTATTAATTAAAAGGAAAGTACTAGAAACAAAATTCAAAGATGGCGACGATATACTAGAATTAATACAAACATTTGAAAAACAAATCAATGAATTGAAAAATGCTGGAGAAGTCGTGTCGGAAGAGGATAGACTGAACTATTTATTGCTTGCATTACCTGAGAGTTTTGCACATATTGTAAATATTGTTGATGCGATGCCGACAAAGGATCGGACAGTGGAGTACGTGAAGTCCAAATTACTACTTGAAATGAAAAGAAAACAGAGCGAACAAGAAGCTCATACGTTCAGTTCTCGATCAAATCAACACCAAGATGGGTCCAGGAATAATGATAACTGCTTTGAATGCAACCGCCCAGGACACTACAGGAGGGATTGTCCTAAGTTAGCACGTCGTGGTCATGGTCGTGGTAGAGGACGCGGATATGGAGGCGGATACAACATTAGAAGCGTGAATACAGGACAAAGTAGCAGCACCAGTGATGGATTTGGATTCAACGTAGAAGTAGAAGCGATGACAGGAGCTACCGAAACGAAAGCGGATATAACATGGTTATTGGACAGCGGATGTAGCGATCACATCGTAAATGACGATAAATTCTTTCGTGATTATAAAATTTTAGAAACACCTGTGAATATTAAGGTAGGTGATGGATTTTGTCTTAAGTCGGAGAAAATAGGAAATGTAACAATGTACTGTAAAGCAGGAGGTAAGTCAAATAAAATTGATGTTTCAAATGTATATTATGTTCCAAATATGAAAAAGAACTTATTAAGCGTTTCATGAATTGTAAATAGAAATAATACAATTCAATTTAGAGGAGAAATAGCAAATATATATAATGTACATATAGGTTTAATGGCCGTCGCGCGCAAGAAAAATAAATTGTACGAATTAGATGGCAGAGTTAATTTAGGTGCAGGTACAGTAGCATACACAAGTGGTAACATTATGTCAGAAAAAGAAAAATGGCACAGAATACTTGGGCACCCTAACTTTAAGAAACTAAATGAAATGTGCAGGCATAGGGTTGTAGATGGGTTACCTATCACTTTAGGCGAGGGTTACGTGCAATGTGAAGTTTGTTTGATGAACAAAATGACAAATCTACCTTTTGGAAATCAAAGACGACGGGCAACAGACTTGTTAGAGATTATCCACACGGATGTGGCAGGCCCGATTACGCCCACTGGATATAAGGGGCAACGATACTTTGTGTCATTCATAGATGACTATAGTAGGTTAGCTTATCTATGCTTAATTAATAACAAGAGTGATGTTTTTAATTGTTTTAGAGATTATGTAAATATGGTGGAAAATCAAACAGGTAAGAGAGTGAAAGAAATCAGATGTGACAATGGCGGAGAATATATTAACAACGATTTCTACACTTACACAAAGCAAAAAGGTATTTATTTAAAACCAGGGCCAGCTTATACACACGAGTTGAACGGTGTAGCTGAAAGATTTAATCGAACCATAATGGAGAGAGCGAGGTGTCTGCTTACAGAAGCAAAGATAAATAAGAAATATTGGCCTGAATGCGTTATGACTGCAGCATATCTAGGTAATAGAATATTAACAAATACGTATGAGAAAAAAAACACCGTACGAAATTTTTATGGGGAGGAAGCCAAATGTAAGTAATTTAAAAATTTTCGGATCACAGTGTTATGTACGAATTCCAGACGAATTACGCACATCAAAACTTAACCCAAAGGCTACAAAAGGTATATTAGTAGGATACACAGATACGGGATACAGAGTATTAATAAATGAAAAAATAGTAATTAGTCGTCACGTTACATTTATAGGTACGAAAGAAGAACAGATAATAAAGATAGTAAATACTGAAGATGAAACTGATGAAAACGAAGAATTTTATGATAGTGTTGATGACTCAAAGGAAAAATCAAGTAGAGCTGTGACTGAGGAGGTGACGGATATCCGACCAAAAAGAGATAGAAAAATGCCAGAGAAATATAAAGATCATGTTGTATATATAAATTTTAGTGATGCACTGGTACCAGATACGTATGATGAAGCAATAAAAAGTCCAGATGTAAATAAATGGAAAGATGCAATGAAAGAGGAATTGAACAGTTTGGAAAAGAACGAAACATGGATTTTAGTTGATAGACCAGAAAATAAGAAAATAATAGATGTTAAATGGATCTTTAGGATCAAGTCGAATGGGAAGTATAAGGCAAGAGTAGTCGCACGAGGTTTCCAACAGATGTATGAAGAAAACGAGGAAATTTATTCACCAGTAGCGCGAATGACGACAATGAAAGCTTTATTATCAATTGCATGTGTAAGAGGATGGAACATTGAACAAATGGATGTTGAGACAGCATTCTTGAATGGGAGTATTAAGTCTGAAGTTTATATTTACCCACCTGATGGATATTGTACAGAGAATAATAAAGTGTGCAAACTACAAAAAGCTCTTTATGGATTGCGAGAAAGCCCACGTGATTGGTATGAATGCTTTCACGAATTCATGTCAAGCATTAATTTCAATAGGTCAGACTATAACTATTGTTTGTATACAGGGTGTGTAAATAATGTAAATATATATCTATGTCTGTATGTGGATGATATTTTAATTTGTGGGGAGAAAAATGAGGCAATTGACGAAGTTAAAAGGCTATTGAACAATAGATTCCGAATGAAAGATCTGGGAAAGGTGAAACAGTATCTTGGAATAGATGTAGTTTTTGAACCAAAAGAAGGCAGAATTACTTTAAGCCAGGAAAAATACATTGTAAGTTTAGCTGAAAAGTATAACGTAATCGAATCAAAGAACTTTGAGACACCAATGGAAATGAATTTAAGCATTGAACCAAGTCAAGATGTCAGTGCAACGTTAAAGTATAGAAACTTGATTGGAGCTCTTCTGTATGTTGCGAGTGGAACACGTCCAGACGTATCTTATAGCGTAAACTATTTGAGTCGGTTCCAAAATGCTTATAGTGATACGCATTTCAAATATGCCTTGCGAGTTCTCAAATATCTTTACTGTACGAGACATTTAAAGATGAATTATGACGCCGACTACGAAGAACAATTGGACGCTTATGTAGATGCTGATTGGGCCGCAGATAAATCGGATAGGAAGTCGACGACAGGAATCCTTATAAGAGTTTTCAATAATCCGATCATGTGGAAGTCACATAAACAGAAAATAGTGTCAAGAGCATCAACTCATGCCGAGTATTATGCTTTGGCAGACTGTGTTGAAGAAGTACTTCCGTTAATAGGTGTGTTATGCGATTTAGGCGTTGAGATTAGGGATCCAGTAAAAATTTACGAAGAGAACAGCGGGGCTATTGCGTTGTCAAAGAACGGAAAGTTTTGTAAAAATCCTAAGCATATTGACATAAGCTACCACTTCGTATATGACTACGAGAAAAAGGGTATTATTAATATAGTAAAGGTTCATACAGAAAAACAATTAGCGGATATATTGACCAAGGCATTAGGAAAAAATAAATTTATAAAACTTAGAGAACTGGCAAATGTCAAATGAAATGTTAATGACAGATAGTCTTTTGTTAAGTGATTTATTTATTATGTTAAGTTGTTATATTGGTATTAAGTTGTTTTTGTTGTTTTCTATAAAATCAAGGAGGTGTGTTGAAGTTATGATTTTATGTAAAATAGGGTGGTTCTTATTTTGGGTAAGTCGGCATTTCAAACCTCTCACCCCTTGCATATCTCCCATTTGCCAAAAAAAAAATGTGTGCAAGGTTTAAGCCCAATCGGACAACGTTTACCCGTGGCCCAAGAGGGTCAAAGTTTAATATTGTAGCGAAATGGTAAAAACCATTGGTAAAAACCACCAAAATGGTTTTTTGGTTTCATTATCGCCTTTGATTTTGTTTCATTAATATTTCTGAACGAAACTCGTGAACACTTGCGACTGTGATATCGATAAGAAACGAAAAGCGTATACGAAACGGATCCTCAGAAATTTCGCGATGTAATGTTAGCATTTCAGGTGCGCAGAAATAAAAAGGATGATGAATAAAATTGATGGTTAACAATCGTGTTTTTGAATATGAAATTATTATTCTGTTTTAGATATAAATCATGTATTCTGTTATACATTCTGTCGCTGTTCGATTCTAGTCGCATTGACGTAGATAATTAATTAAATGAAAATAATTGAATATAAATACAAAGGAAACTCGTGGCAGGAGCCATGAGATGGTATTCGCACACGTCTGTGATTTTATATAAATAAAAATGATTGCATTTATTTTAGATTTTTTTTAAAATTGCTTGGACATCGTAGATCTCTTACAGTCCGGAAATGTTTTACGATAGTCTTGGACGACTTGTAAAAGACTTTGCTTTTGTTCTTCATTTTTTGTAATGACTTTATTGTAGTCATCCATTAATTTTACTCCTCTCTCAGCCACGTCGTTTACCACTCTGACGCTCTTGAAGAATTCTAACGCATCTAAGTAGGTTTGATTACTGTTCCAAGTCGACGGATCCTCGTTAAGGAACTCAGAAGATAACTCGTACGGTGCGGCGGGCGACGCGGTAATGGCAGCGCGGCACATGAAACTTCATGGTGTTAATTTTTTGTGTTACAGATGCGCGCGCATCTTAAAATTTCACTCTCATAATTTTTTTATAACGCGCCTAAAGAAGTATAACTTCAAAAAAAATTTAGTTTTTGGTTGAACTCAGCGTCTATACATCCATTATTTATTAATGTAGTTAGAAACGTTGTGGATTATAGCGCATTGCAATTTTTCGTCGCAGCTCTACACGAAAACGAGCCCAAAAATTAGTTTTTACATATTGGCACGAATATTGAACTTTCAACCTCTTGGGCCACGGGTAAACGTTGTCCGATTGGGCTTAAACTTTGCACACATTTTTTTTTTGGCAAATGGGAGATATGCAAGGGGTGAGAGGTTTGAAATTCCGACTTACCCAAAATAAGGACCACCCTAATGTAAAACCTTCTTGTTAGCGCGACTCGATGGCCTGTTCTCTATGTCACCGTTACTTCATTCTAGGACTTTTGCAAATACATAAACGGTGTATACCTATAAAGTGTAAAATGTGATTGGGACTACATAAACTAAATATTACGAGCTGATTGTCTTTCCTTTCTACGATCCACTTCCTCAACAGGGATTTCGGGAATTACTTATAAATCACCAATTCTATTTGTTGGCGACTGGCTGCGGCTACAAACCTCCTTTTATAATACGTTTATATTTTGTACTTGCTTTACTTTTCTATGTCACTTTTTGACACCATTATTATACTTGATAGATCATTATTATTGTCTTGTCACTACTTTGTAAATACGGATTATATTTTATTTGCTGCGACGGGTCGTTTTCCTTCATTATTCCCATTTAATTTATTACAGTCCACCGCTACACAACATTTTGGTCCATTCTCACCGTAAGTTTTGAACTCGTTACCTATTTTTGATTGATCATTATTCCATTGCTTTTTATCAATACTTGTAGCATCTTAGATTAAAACAAAAAGGGAAGATAAGGCATTCGCGGCACAAAAGTGATCCGCTTAAATTGTAGTCCACGACCATAATTCGCTTTAGTCACAATTTGACATTCAAACACGCTGCATGTACACTCAATATAGGTAACAATATTGCGTATATTTTGTGTTATGAAGATATAACAATGCCTTCGATGCTTTTATAAAGAACACAAATAGTTTAAAATCAAATGCCGGGGGCAACACTTTTCATTCGTAAAACTGTGAAATCATTTTTTTCTCAAAAATCACTGTTTGTCGTGAATATTATTTACGTAATCGCTAATCGCCATTTTGTAATCAAGAAAAGGACAACAATACGCTGCGTTGAAGCATATAGTTCTGTCTCGCTCGCTCGATTGATGTTTAAAAGTGGGCGTGGCGAGAGTTGCTTATGTAGTTGAGTCGGATCATATTTTATTTGATGCTATGAGCGTACCGTATCTACCCTTTTTGTTTTACTCTAAGCGTAGCATGCGTAAATTAGTTGCTGAACTGACGACTGCTGAGAGCGACCGAGCACAATGCAATCTTAATGAACGATCACCGCGTAGCGTCCGGGCGGCCGCAGTTGACATCACTGAGAGTTTTGAAGCATGGCCTATTAGCACAACCACGCAAACTTTGAATCCGACGTCTTCCACCGCGAGACCAAATAGCCAGCAAGGGACTCGACCGATCGTAACAGCATTTCATCACAACAAGTAGGCAATGCTCGAACACTTCCTCAGAGCAATCTCATTGTTGACAGTAAGCAGTCGGCAAGACCGCTCCAGGTCTTCCACAACAATAGTCGCCCAAAAGCTTGCCGCCGAAGTGGATGTACTACAAAGGAGGGTGGAGCGGGAACGCAAACTCGCTCATTTGGAGGCGGAACGGGAGCGCGAACTCGCTCTCCTGGAGGTGGAGCGGGAGCGCAAACTCGCTCGCTTGGAAGAAGAAGCCGAGCAGAGTCAGCTAGCAGCCAAACTCGCCGCATTGGAGGCTAAAGCTAAATCTTGTAATTCTTATCATTCAAGTCGACATTCTGAAAAACGCACAGCGAGGTGGGTTGCCGAACAAGATGCAACTATGACATTGGTAGCACCTGTGAACGTATCTGGTAAGGCACCGTCTGTTACCTTGGACAACTCCCGAGGAACGTTGCAACAGTCGTCTGTCCCTGCCTACTCGGTGCAACTTCACGCTTCCAACGTCAAACATGCAGATCGGCCCACACCCACACCGAACACTACAAGCCCACAGATGCTATAGCGGAACTTGCTCAGGCTATTATTGCCCTACTCATCGCCCAGAGAAGCCTAAACTTCTCACTTTTTCGGGTGACATTAACAATTGATGACCTTCAAATACAGTTACGAGACAACTAAATCCGATTTCTCCGCAGCAGAAAACATAGCGCGGCTAAACACTGCCATCCGGGGATCAGCTCTGCAGTCTGTGGCGTCACTGCTATGGACCTCTCATAATCCTGAAGACGTCATAAGAGCGCTGGAGCAGACTTATGCTCAACTCGAGATCTCGTGGCACGTGAAGTCGCCGAGCTACGTCACGTCCCTAAGATAATGTGAAGAGATAGTATATCAACCACTTCATCTATGATTTACCTAAACTTTTAGCACTATGACTTTTGACAGTGTTCCTTAACCGACATTCTTTCTGATTTCTTTCATTGTATTTTCCTGAATGGATTTAAATTCAAAGATTTAAATCATTTACATATCTAAATTTGCCTATGCCCTGACACCGAAAAACTGTGGCCATATATTGTGGCAAGTTATATGCTACTTTAACCGTTGATTAACGTTACTTTTTTTTTAATTTACTAACATTTTATTATATACAAATTCCTAAAATAATATATTATTTAAAAGCACAAAATGGATTAAAACTACTAAATAAACTAAATACTTATATGAAACTAAAAATAAAACTATATTATATAAAAAATCGACCCCAAATCGCTGCGCTCGCAGGGTAGGGTGCCCAAGAGGCTAGCGGCATTTCCCCGTTGAATGGCCAGGCTCAACCTTTGTCCGAAATGCGCGCCAGCCCTTGGATCCCCTGAGGCGTCGATGAGGCGTGTGGAAATCTCCTTAAATAGCTGACGAGCTTCCGCACCCCAAGGCCCCAAGGTCTCCACGGCAATAGGCGTAAATATATACGGCTCTCCCAAGGCCCCATATTTACGCCTTTTATTGATTTCGGCTGTCGCCGCAGCTGCGCCGGCTTTGCGAGCGGTCGCTCTCACGTGAGATGGGGCAACAGTGTCCACGCATGTGGCATCCCACACGAGTGACCGCCCGTTTTTCCACGGGATGAGCGTCATACCATCGGGCCTCTTGCCATCGTCTCGGGCGATGCCATTAGGTTCAAGCACTGCTGGCACCCCGGAAGAGGCAAGGGCGCGAACGTAACGTTAACGTTTTTTAACGTTACTTAAAGATCGTGAAATTGTAGATAAGTTTTACTTGCGACTTTATGTGACGTATAGTCTTCTCGACATTTTACTCCGAGATGGTGAACGTATTGGAAAATTATGGAAACGTATTTTAACCAATATTGCAAACAGTAGCTGATCAAAAGGATTGAATCAAATGAAAAATATAAATGTCTACATAAGCTCAGCGATCCTATGTGCAGCGATCATTTTGATTTATTTATTATACATTTCGAATTTAGAAAAATACAAATGCTTAGTTATGTGGTCAATAAGTACATTGCAATTATATTATCACTAGCTGACCCGGCGAACTGCGTACCGCCTTTATAACAGTCGATAAATGTCGCTATCTTGAATATCTAGCTTAATTAAATTTAGGACTTTACAAGCGAATGAAACAACAACAAAAAAGTTCAATAGTTTACTCGGATAAATCTAAATATAAAATAAAGTCGTGTTAGTTAGAACACTTACAACTCAAGAATGACTGGACCGATTTTTATGAGAATTATAATTTTTTGGAATCCTCTCCGCCCCGAATAGCAGCATAACTTTTTTAAATAATATCCACTTCTTATCGCTGTAACTTAAATCCAAAGTACTACATCGAAACCGTGATCAAAACAGCTTCACGCAAACTCGGAGTCCTGACATTCATTCTGATTTCTTTCATTGTATTTTCCTGAATGTATTTAAATTACATTTTGTTTATTTTGATCACGTTGTTATATTAATGCCTTATTAATTATCATCTATAAATAATTTTACACTTCATAAAAAGTTAATATGGTAGCCAGGACTTCGAAGTGAAAAACGAGTCGTCACGACATACAAGTAAGTCGAAGTATTTATATTGAAAACTAAACCTTGTATTGCCAAATATGCCGAAGGCGATTGATTTATCACATTGATCCACTCGATAAGAACAATTATGACACTTTGGCAATTCAGGCTGAAGCCATATTGGTAAAAAGTAAACTATGGAAATACCACGGGAAATACGTTGTTAGTCCGTTAGCCCCAAACGCAAGTAGTGATTATATTGAAGGAGACAGACTGGCGAAATCATCATTAAACAAACAAATGTAACAATAGCATTTCTAAATGGCTCAGTTCAAGTAGGAAGGACAATGGCGAACTCCCATACAAATTTTTGTTGAAAAATTTTTTTGCGTCTTTAAATGAATTGCATGTTAAATTATAGAGTTTATATTCTCGATTTGGTTCGTCTTATTTCTTTTATTATAGGAAGTCTGGATTTATAGATATTGTACTTTGAAGTTTTGGAGGTTACGTCATACCAAGTAATACAAAAACGAATTATAAAAGTATTTTCAAGAGTATTTTTAGATCAAAATATAAAAAACGTGGAACGGAGCTAAAGAAGTATACCGGTCCCGTAGAGTAGTGACGAAAAAAAATGTTTTTTTTATAATGTACTAGCGGACCGCCCTCGCTTCGCTTCGGTGTAGAGCTGAAGTGTAAACTACAGTTTTTGTTCTCAGGCTTGTATTATACACAATGACATTCATCTATGATTCTTCTTATACCTGCATGCAGTCTCAGCCCGATCGGTTTAAAATTGACAAAGTTTCATACAAACTTTAATTCCCTATTTTATCCCCTTGGGGGTAGAATTGATCAAAATCGTTTCTTAGCGGATGCCTACGTCATAACATCTACCTGCATGTCAAATTTCAGCCCGATCCGTCCAGTGGTTTGGGCTGTGCGTTGATAGATCACTATGTCAGTCAGTCACCTTTGACTTTTATATACATTTAAAGATAAAAACGGTCATTTTTATTACCTGTATTTATAATCAAACTAAAATTCTCATATTACCGTTTTCCAGTACTCATTTTCTACACGTTTTACATGATTTATTTGCTAATTTTGTTTACAAATGTTTGGTTTTTATTGTAAGATAAGCACGGTTTCTTAATATCAATTATTGTCTGTCAATAAGGTCGAACGCTCTGAACGCATCAACAGCCAAATATTAAATGAAGCTCGCTTTCTTTTTTTTATTTTTATTTTTGTTTTCTCCCAGGCGGGCGAGCGGGTGAGAAATCCTCATGGATACCCTACAGCCGGCTGTAGGATTATATCAGACTTACTGACTAAAACACACCCGTGGGGGATGCCTATGGCCTTAGGGGCCATACAGGCTTCATCTGATGCGATCAACCCCTGAGAAGGGGATGATGCAGCGCTACCTTAGTAAATACTACTGGATAGTGCGCTTAGAGGACGGATGCACTCTGATGTGCATCCGTATCGGTTTAGGACAGAGCGACTGAAGGTCTTTCAGGATCGGGGGGGCGGGGAAGCTCGCTTTCTTTTTTTTTCTTTTTTTTTTGTTTCCTCCCAGGCGGGGGAGAGGGTGAGAAATCCTCATGGATACCCTACAGCCGGCTGTAAGGTTATGTCAGACTCTTACTGACTAAAAAACACCCTTTATTCATGCTTATGGCCAGAAGGGCCTTACAAGCTTCATCTGAAGCGATCAACCCCCGAGAGGGGGAAGACTTTTTATACCCTACCGCCGCCGCGACCCGTGTTGAGCGCGGCAACCGTTACACAAAAATAATCCTTATTTCAGCATTCACTTGCGACGGAGCGATGGCTTATTTCATGTATAAGTTTGGTGTTTCTATACCGATTTCTATGATTCGCTTTTTATTGAATAGGTAATAATGTTAACTTTTTTAAATTAGTGATGAGTGAGAGTATTATAAATGTAAGAGTAAACAAATATAATCAGAATGCTCCGAACTGCTAAGCTACCAGGAGTTACACGTGTTATTGTGAGTCAACCATAAAAGATAGACATATGCTGTTGCGGGATATTTTTTAGACAATTTTATGTAAAATATTTCCGTCATACATGATTTCTATGTAACTTTAACCATTAAGGCTGCACACGCGACGGAACCTTAAAAAATGGAGTAACTTCTCCGGTTTTCCCAACATTTCCCTTCACTACTCTGCTCCTATTGATTGTAGCGTGATGAAAAGTATACTATAACCTGCCCAGGAGTATGAAGATTAATTGTACCAAGTTTCGTTAAAATCCGTCGAGTAGTTTTTGTTTCTATAAGGAACATACACACAGACAGACAGACAGACAGTTTAGTTTAGATTCCTACACGAACAAATTTTACTGATTGCATTTTTGGCATCAGTGTCGATCACTAATCACCCCCTGATAGTTATTTTGAAAATATATTTCATGTACAGAATTGACTTCTCTACAGATTTATTATAAGTATAGATAGATGATCAGTGGGCGTAGGTACTGACCAACCGCGTCAAAATACTTATAGACCAGAGTCGATAATTTTTGAGACCAAAAAAAATTATAATAGGATGAAACCCATTAGAAAAGGTAGAGAATATAACAAAAATGAAAGGAAAAATAAATTACGGGCGATCTGAGGTCGGGAAGGGGGAGGGGTGAGTTTTTAAGGGTAAAAAATGGTTAATCTCGATTTCTGGTAAAACTGCAAGTCCTATGAAAAAAAGTTAAATGGCAAAGTTTTAGGTAATAAAAGGATTTGTATCGACACTTTTTTCACATAACCTCAAAATTTATGTGAAAAATGCGAATAACCGAGTTTTTGGTTTTTGATTTTTATTTTTTGCAAAAATATATTTTTTCACGAAAGGAGGACGGGCATTTTGGTATCCAATTGGTGGTTGGTATCAATAGCGATGAGTGATATATCATTGAATACCTCTTTTCATGTAGAATATTAGTTACTATGGCGGCAATCTGATATTTGTTGTCCGTTTTTAGTTTTTCCAGAAA